CCCCAAAACCCCAAAACCCCAAAACCCCATAAAGTAAAAATCTCAAAATTATATCGAATACTAAAGTATATTTATCATATCAAATTATTATTAGAAACAAAAGCAAATCATAGAGCATGTTTACTTTTAATACTCATTACAGATCCTACTTTAACTTTTCTATATTCTGAAAAATCGTCATTTTAGCTGCTATTATTCAGACTTTATTTGCTTTGATGCATCTATTGTTACAGTTAATGCTAACTTTTCATATTTTAATCCAATAACGGCTAGGATTCCTTTTTGTTTATATTTATCACATTATTTTCAATCACCAGATCATTCTAAACTGAACTTCGGGGATTAGATTGGTACCTAACTGATTTTTTATCACTTGGCAAGTTAGGATTATCTTTTGAATAGCTCGATCTATTAGTCTGGTTGAATTTTGAGACTACAAACGGTGGCGCCTTAATATCAGTCTCTGGTCTCACTATCTTCTTCTCATCCAGCTGTTTCACCTTTTTCATTAAGATATCACTCTAGTCCAATTCTTTTCTAGCACCCTTGTTCTAAGTAACATTAAGATCAGTATCGTTTTAACGAATTTTTTTCTTCTTTAGTTCATCCATGTCAACATCTAAGTCCTAATTATTCATGTTCTATGCAAGAGCAATGGCATCTGCTTCCAATTCAATTTCAAAGCCAAGTGGGCTTCTTCCATCATCCTCGAACTCCTCTTAGTCTTTGCTAATGTCTCTTAGTGTAGGTGACTACTTATGATAAATACTTTAATTTTCATCCATCTAGAATTCTTCACTATTTTTCTTAGGCTTATCAATCGTAATAGTCTTTATATCGTCATTATCTTCATTCCTGTAAAACTCTTCGGTTTTTAATATCGATTTTTAATTCATTGAAGAATTTTACCTCTAATCTTTTTCCAGTCTATCTAATATGCTACTCTAGTTGACAGGACGATTATTAGTGTGATGGCTATTTTTATTACTATGTCTGCTGACTGGGGTCTGCACTATCTATATCATATCCTCTAAGTGAACATTGTTAGAAATTTGCATCATGAATTTATGCTCTTCTAGACCTTTAGTGAAATCTGTTGATTTTGATACCTATCTAATGTTTTTCTCTTTTATCTAAAGATCATGCCTTCTTTTAATCTTCAATTCCTCATGATCCATCTATTTCTAGTAATCGTTTGTACTGACTTATATATCTGAATCTAGTTCATCTAATTATTATTATAGAAATCCTTTTTATCTTTCAAGGTCCTTCATTTATTTGAGATGAGTTTTTAATTATGTCTGATAGTTTTTCTTATTACTTTCTAAACTCTATTTAATTATGCCGATTTTCTTGAGATGAGCTTCCTTTCTCAATAGCCTCTCTTCATTTTCAGCTTGCTACAGCAATGCATTCTTATCCTGGAAATTTAACCCATACAACTTCTATGCCTTATCAATCATTCTTTGCTCCTTATCTTTCATCTTTACTTCTAAAATGACCATAGACTCTTGCTTCTCCTTTAGTTTAGTTTCCTTTTGAGTAAGTTTTACTTCCTTTTCCTAAAGAAATGATAATCTATGCTACAGCATATTAAGCTCAATTTCTAACTGCTAAATCTCTCTACCCATCTACTGATCAGGATCATTTTACTGTAGTTAGGACATTTTATCTATCTTCCGTTCATTTTTCCTTTGCTCATTCCTTAGAAATTCATTGTCTTTCTTGATCTAATCCACAACTTAACTATTTTCTTCTACTTTGGCGAAGAGTTAATTAAGATAGTGTTAATCTTTCATGCGACCCTCAATTTTAGCTAGGAAATTATACTCCTTCTCAGTCATCTTTAAATGCTTATCTGCATTCTTAATCTCCTCTATTTTTCTTTGGATGTCTATTTAATCTTGCTGTTCTTAACTAAGATTAGGATCTTGTCTGGTTATTCGACTCTTAGCCAGTTTCTTGTATTTTACTATACAATTAAATTAATGCCAAGAATAATATTATACTCGGGTTATGTTGTTCAATCAGGACATCAACGTTAAGATTTAAGACCTTCAGAGTTTAACTCAGATATTTGTTTGATCGCTTCTGCCTCTCATACTCGAAATTCTAGAAAATATAAGCAAAGACAGTATTACAATATCATAGTATTCTGGTGACTATACATTTTCATCAATATTTAGAGCATTTACACGCTCTCTTGTAAGTTAAACCAACATTTTGGCATTTTCAAGATTTGAAGCAAAGGGAATATTTCTCAGTTGACTGATGCTCGTGATTTTATTGTATTAACTTGCACTGTCCTCAGCTCTAACATCAGGCAAAGAGAAGGACTTATCTTGTTATTATTTTAAATGACTATCTCCTGATCCAATCCTATAATAACTGTCCATTGGAGATTTAGTAAATGGACTCTTTGTAGGACTCTATATTTTAGGTTTGGTAGGTGCATCATCATCTTTTTCATTTTTAGTTCTCTTCTAGTCAGCCTACTCGAAATCATCAGAATACTAGCTTTCACCTCCATCACGATCTTAGCCCTAATCTTAATCCTAGTCTTTTCCATCTTCACTGTCTTCCTATTCTTCTTCTTTGATAATTCTACAATAGAGTTTAGCAACAGTAAAAATAGAGGTTGATGAGTATATTTAGTTAGCAAATAGAAACTTACTAATCCTTCTGGTTTTCTCCTCCATCATCTTAATCATCATAGTAACTCTAATCTGAATCACTATCGATTTTCTTCACAATCTCAACATTTCCAGGTTCCACATCATCACCTCCATCTATTTTATTCAAGTCCTCTTAACTTATATTAATTGACTATTAAGCGAGATCATTATTTGAGGAGAATATCTCAGTGTTATTCACATCAATACTAAAAATCTTATTATTCTTCTAAAAGTTGTCAAGTCGCAGCATGAATGGGTCCTTGAATTAACCAGGCGACTACAACATCTATTGAAGTTGTTTGTCAGTTTCCATTCCTTTATTATTATTTTATATTTTTCTATATTTTGATTATGCATTCTTTGAACCCCTTCAATGACTTTAGACTTTTGGGGTTTTGGGGTTTTGGGG